GCAGCACTTATATGAAGGGCTTTCTAAACACATCCTATAACATCACTTTATAGAAGCACTTTCTAAAGTATGGGTATGTATGACCTTAAGTAGCGCTTTTTAGAAGTGCTTTCTAAAGTAAGCCTTTAGCAGCGCTTTTTCTCAAAAAAAAATTTAAGTTATAACTGTGCTTTAGGAAAAAAGCGATGTCTATAGTGTGCTGCCTAAAACAAATTTTGTAGTAGAAAGTGCTGCCTAAAGTGTGGCTTTAGTATCCCTATAGGCCTATGGCAGCGCTTTTTACTATTGGACCTAAAGCAGCGCTTTGAATTTAGGCAGCACTTTCTAGAATTTATTTTTTTTATTTCAATTTTAATTGACCTCATAAAGCGCTACCTAAAGTGTGGCTTAGGAAACGCTTTTTCTTAACTTTAGGCAACACTTTTTTATAAAGAGTTGTCTAATATATATTAAAATTTAAAACTTTATCGGGACATATAGCAGCGATTTTGTACAAAAGCATTCTCTAAGGTGTACTACCTAAAAGCAGATTTGACGTAATGGCATATAGACATATGATAGTGCAAATACGATTATCATATTAGTAATAGACGCATTTATCATTTTTATTCATTTTGTACCCATTCGATATCATTAAGTTATCAAACTTTTCGTGCCATTTCTTAGGAGTTTGTTTTAGTCCATACAGAGAGTTGTCTAACTTACAGACCTTGTTTTCTTGTCCATGGATCACAAACCCTTCTGGTTGTTTCATATAGATTTCTTCTTCTAATTCATCGTTTAAAAATTTTTGTTTTAACATCCATTTGGTGTATTATTAAGTTATAAATAATAACTATTGAAATAAGTACCCTAATGAATGTAATTCTAGTGATTGGAGAGAAGGTGTCAAAGAAATCCATATTCTCTCTATTTAAAACCCTTAGCTACAAGGCGAGCCTTGTATTTATCAATAGTTCTATCAGGTTTTAGTTTATTTTTCAAAACTCATGTACAATATTTTGATTTGCACCAAGGAGGCAAGTCTACCAAGTTCCAGGTCATGTTAGACTCTAGAGATTTTATCTCATCATTAATAGCTTCTTGCCATAAATCAGCATCCAAAGATTACAAGGCTCCTTGAAGATTTATTGGATCTTCTTCTATGTTATAAGCCGCATAATCAGGCCCATAATTTTTAGCAACTCTTACTCTTTTACTTCGTCAAAGTTTTGTTTCTACAATGGTGTTGCTTCCCGTGCTTCTTACCACAAAAATGTTACTCGATTGTGTGCCCTCACTATTTCTCGGTTTGAAAGGAAATTTGTCTTCATAGAACTCATCATCATTTGATTATATGATCACTTTGCATTTAGGTCATAAAACCTATATGCTTTATTGTTGGTTTCATATCCAATGAATATACATTCATATTCTCTACTAGCAAATTTAACTCGTTTCAAATTCGAAATTCTGACATAAGCTAGACAGCCCCAAGTTCTCAAATAAGACAAGTTTGGTTGTCTTTTCTTTAATAACTCATAAGGAGAGATCTTACTTTTTGACTTGGGGACTCTATTCGAGACATAGAAAACAATCAATAAAATTTTCCCTCACCAGTGAGGTACAACACCAAAGTTCATCATAATTGCAACAAAAAGTTCAATAAGAGTTCTATTCTTTCTTTATGCTTTACCATTCATTTCATGAGAATATGGAGCAGTCATTTTTCTAGTGCAAATCCATGTTCTTTATAAAAATCATTAAATAAACCAGAATCATATTCAGTTCCCCTATCACTACAAAGTCTCTTAATCTTCTTACTAATTTGATTCTCGATTTCAGTTACATACATCTTAAACATGTCAAGCGCTTCACTTTTATTCTTCATTAAGTATACATAAGTATCATCAGAATAATCATCAATAAAAATGATAAAATAACGTTTACTATTTCTGTTCCATCTAATTCACATATATCAGAGTGTATAAGATCTAGGAGATCATATTCTTTAATAATTGATTTATGTGAAGTCTTAGTTATTTTATCTTGACTATAATATTCACATTTATTTAAATTATTGACATTTAATTTAGGGATTAGGCCTAAGTTTCTTGCATTAGAAATAACTCTCTTATTAACGTGACAAACTCTAGCATGCCAAATATTAAAATCACACAAAGAATAAACAGAAGGAGAAATTTTATTCAAATCAGCATTCAACTTAAACATGCCATCAGTGGCGCACCCTTTCCCAACAAAAATACTACTGTTAGTGATGGTGTAAAAATCGGTCCTTATAGACTGACTAAACCCCGCCTTATTCAAAAGATAACTAGAAACAAGATTCTTTCTAAGTTCAGGGACATGCGTGACGTCCTTCAAGATTAAAGTCTTTCCTAAGGTGAAGTTTAACTCAATATCTCCAATTCCAGCAACATCAGTGGTGTGAGCCTCTCCCAACAACACTTTCTTATTTTTAGCATTTGTGTATGTCTTGGACATAGCACGATCATAACATACATGACGAGAGGCACCAATGTCTACCCACAAACCATCAATTCCACCAACCATGTTGATTTTAGTGATCATAGCAATGAACTTCTCATTAGTCAGATTAACTTGTGCATTAGAGCCAACAGGTTTGGGTTGCTCTTACATCTCTTAGCCATATGACCCGAATTTCCATAATTATAGCAAGTGAAAACCGGAGCGTCATTTCTTTGAGCTGGTGGTTATTGTCTAGCAATCGGAGTAGATGGGCCCCTTGAGGGATTCCCATTCTTAATTCGTTTCACAACATTGCAGTTCTAATTCTTTTATGGTTTTCCCGTAGGCTTCAAAACCGCACCGAATATCTGTTTGTTGTTAGAAACACCTAAGACTTCATCCTTTTGGTCTTGTTTTCTAGCTTCCTTATCAATTCGGAGGCGGGTGATCAAACTCTCGATTGAAAACTCTTTTGTTTTATGGCGAAACACGTTTTTGAAATATTTCTAACCAGGGGAAAATTTGTCAATGATAATAGCAATTTGAAAATTTTCATTGAGGGGCATACCTTTTGTAACCTTTTGTAATGATGTCATGAGCAATCTTCTGAATTTCGTGGCTTTGAGCTTCCATATATTTTTTATCCACCACCTTATAGTTCAAGTAGCGGCTGACAACATATTTCTTTGCACCTGCTTCTTCAGTATCATATTTCTGCTGTAGAGCCTCCCATACCTGTTTAGCAGTCTCATAATTACCATAGTAATCATACAAATCGTCAGAGATAATGTATAAAATGTGGTTTTGGCAAAGATAATCATTATCTTGCCATAGGGCGATTTATTTCCTGAGCTGTAAATTATTTATCGCAACTTTAGCTTTTGCAGTAGAGTCTAAGTTAGACGATTTTGGAGTCCCATTTGATTCTATAGATGTCTTACCATTAGTTAGTTCAATTGATCTAGAAAGAGCAACATAGATACCCTCAGTTAGAACGTGGGAAACCTTATTTAAAGTTAAGAAAAATTTAATCTTAGCTTGTCAACGTTTGAAATTAGAACCCTCAAACTTAAATGGTTTGTCAGAGACAGTAGCGGCTACAATAGTACCGATAATTTCCTCAGTAGCCATGATAGTTAAAGAAACGTCTTAAAATTGTTGTTTTTAGTTTTTGAAACAAAATTGTCACGTAGGAAGTTATTGGCTGAGTCGTGGAACGATACACTTTCTTTAAGACGTTCTGCGGTACTGCCAAAATTATGTAAAGCAACTCTTAATAACCACGACGCCTCCAGGATAAAATAGCTCGTGCACAAAAGGATTACAATTATTACTTGCATTGTGATGAATCGTTCAAAGAAATACACCTTCAGATGGTGTTTAAATCACTTGTAGTATCTAGAAGAATTTCAACCGTAGATGGCGGCACACAAGACCACTTGAAAAACAAAGAAGAAAGAGGTTGTATTGAGATGAAGAGAACAAAGAGGAAGAATAAAGATTCTAAAAATTTAGAAATCTGACGTACATTTCCAATGAACTTAGGAATCATATTAATAGGTAATAATTCAACTAAGTGGAGAGAAAATAGTGGGATAGTGGAAAAAAATATTGAGAAGGAATTACTTAATAAAAACTAGGTTTTAACGTATAACTCATTATTTACTCCTTCCGTCTTACGATAGGTATCCTCTTTGAGATTTTCACATTTTTTAATATAGTGATTAATTATGTTGCTTTCAATGATAAAATAAGTCTCATTTACTAAAATAATCTTATTAATAATAGGTAATGGAGTAGTTATATGAATTAAAATACAATAAATAAGGGTAAATTAGTGAGAAAAAAATATCACATTAATATTTTAAATAGATAAATAATTTAAAACAAATAAAAATAATAAAAAAGACACTTATTATTATAAGACAGAGGAAATAATTAATAATTAATTAATATTAATAATTAATTCTACTAGAATTAACTTAAGAGGCCATTTCATTTCACATTAAGTTTCCAACAACATCCCTAATGTTGATACATAATGTTAATGCTACTAAAATTCTTTTTTTTTAAAACCTATGTGAGAAATTGTTGAAACAAATCAGCGATTTAAAAAAAGTTAGATGCATTCAAGTTCCATATAAAAAAGTTTATGTAATTTGCTAGAATTTATAAGGTAAATGTAGGTTCACCCTAACTTTACTGAATTCCCTTTGAATTCAAACATACACAAAAGCATAAGCATGATGCATCTATTCTACAAAGCACCAACCTATGAGAACGAAAATAGGTTTTACTTGCATTTTTGGCAAAGTTGAAAGCAACTTAAATTTTAATTATTAATACAACAACAAATGAGAACGAAAGAGTAATTAACTTTACTTAAAACATATTAAAACAATATTAAAACATATTAAAACAATATTAAAACAAACTCAATTAGTTTATAAGTATCAAATTAATTTCGCCATCCCTTAGCAATAGCATCACTGTCCTTTCTTCATCTTCATCATGCCTCAAGAATAAAAAACTCACACTTTCTTAGGGGTGATGTATTTTCTAATGTGCTGTCTCGCAAATCTTTCATACAAAAAAGCAGCACCTTTGAATTGCGGCAAAACTAGCCACGCCACCAGAAACACTTTCACAGAGTAATAAATAGGTATCCTACAAATTTTAATTTATATTCTATTAAAAATAATTTACCAAAAGTAATAATTATTTTCTTATAATATTATTCAAATTCTCACCAGTCTAAGAGAGATGCAAGAACCATTTCCATAAGAGTGAGAAACGAATAGATGATCCAATAAGCAAGCCATTGTTCATCATCTACCTTGGATGTGCTCTCTATAGCTACAACCGAAGCATACCTATCATAATAAAAATCATAAATTAATTTAATCAAACCTTATGTAAACTAATAATATATAAGTATATGTAGAGTATAATTATTTACTTACAAAGGATATAATAACATCAATACAGGCCTGCAAAAATTAAATACATGAATTAGTATATAATAACAGCAAAGAAATTCAAGAAACAAAACGGAAAAAAAAGAAGATTTTGTATATATATATATATATATACCCAGCAATGGAATTAAGTTGGGTGATAAAAATCCACAACTTGCTCATATTTTAGTGTGAAGGAAAATGAGAGAAAAGTAAGGGTTAGGAATGAAAGGTTAAGAGACAAAGTAAAGTAAAACGTTTGAGAGTTAAGACAAACAACTTGGTGGGTACATATATATATATATATATATATATATATATATATATATATATATATATATATATATATATATATATATATATATATATATATATATATATATATATATATATATATATATATATATATATATATATATATATATATATTGGTTCTAATTAAGAATAATAATATCTAGTTATATATTTTTTATTTAATTAATTAATTTGGTTAACCTAGTTTCATTACATTGATGGGAACGTGACCACGTGAGAAAGAAGCAAAGAGGCAACACAGTATCAGATTCTTTAAGAAACTTGTCATGCTTAATTAACGATCATTGATCTTCTCATTAATATAATCTGATTACATACTTTATTTTTAATTATTTAATGAAATTTAAAAGATGGATACACAATAAATATTTTTAAAGTAAGAGAAATTCGATATCTGGTCGGTGACACATGTCACATCATGATATGTCTTTAATTAATTTTGTCAGAAAAGTGGTGTTTCTTGATTTTGATGCATGCCGACATCGATTAGATTTTTTTATTTTTTGACGAGTTCGATATCCCAAGGACGAACATTAGCACATGCACCACCTCCTTGGTCTCATTACAATTTACAAGTGTTTTATTTTAATTTTGAAAGTAAACAATTCTTTGAGTTGATTTTGTTAATATTTTTTTATATTAAAACATATTTATAATTATAGTTAATAGAATATTTATATAGATTTAGGTACAAAAATAAATAAAAATTAATATTTTATTTGTAATGTAAAATATCAATTAATTTGAAAAACGAATTGTATATGAAACAATTACGGTAAAAGAAAGTTTACATGTATTTTTTCGTTCTTCTATTTTAATTAAAATAGTATTAGTTCTTAATTGAAATAAAGTGTTAGTTATAAATATGACATTTTTCTTTTTTTGTTAAATAGTTTTGTGACTGGATGTTATTTAATTAAAAATTAAATATACATAAATAGATTGTCGTGATTCGTGTTTTTTATCTAATATATTTATAAAACAATTAATTAAATTGATTTAATGAGATATATATTCACTTATTCATTTATTATATGGTGATAAGACTTATGCAAATTCAATTATATAAATAAGTCAATAATGTTGAAGTTGTACAATCTGACATGTCTAATATTTTTCCAATCTATATAATAAGTTTTTTTCTTTAAGGAAAAAAATTACACAACAGAGCATACACAGTAAAAGATAGAGTAGAAGCAGTTTCAACACAAAAAAAAAAGTTATAAATAATCATGCTCCTCCTGAGTGATTGCACAAACAATTACAAACAGCTACTCTCATAAAAGCAGTAGTACACAGTCCTATCAATGCTAAATTAACGTGTCAAGACATGTGATATAACATCAGGACACAACACTTTACTCCCTCTTTTAAACTAAAATATTGACAAAAAATAGAGTAAATATACATCATGGAAACACATAGCACATTAGAATACATTGCACCTATGCAATACAACCGATGTAAACAAAGATAAGAATAACCGATGGAAACAAAGATAAGAATAACCAATCATGAGCATTAGATGGAAACAAACAGATGGAAACGCGACCTCTTGGTAATCTTCAAGTGGTCTTCCACCCCTTTATCTGTCAAAGAGCCTCCTGCCCCTTGGTGCTGTAGCCAACCCCACTATCTTGCAGACTTCCTTCCTTTCATCCCTTCTCAGTAGCAATTTTTCCAGGCATGTTATGCCTTAGAGTATAGAGGAAAGATGCAGCATTAGTTGCATTCGTCCATTTCTGTAATTACTATAACTCCTTAATAGTACAAGTTCCAATCCACAGTTTTTGGAAACAACAAGTTGTTTCTTGTTGTTCATCTGCTCCAAAGTTACAACCTTCCCTTTAATAAGATTCTTAATCAGTTGTTTTCAACTACCAAGGTCCTTATTCTAGCCATATTGAATTAGATATCTGGAAGAGTTCACATTTTCCCTATAAAATATCATGATATCCCTCTTGACATCATGTCTCTTGAACATCAGCTCAGAGAAACTTTCTCTTATTTCCATACATTCATATTCATCAATATACCAGAAAGCACATACCTGCTTCTTACTAACCCATAAACCTAAGTTATTTCTCAAGATAAAACATCCATCAGAATCTGATATCTTCATAATTAAATCAGTCATGTTTTCTTCATCACAATGAGTTATAGTAAGTTTGTTGGATTTTTTACTATGTCCTTCAGTAGATAGACTTATGCTGGATTGAGAATTCACAAATTTAATGTTTGGGAATTCACCGATTTCTTCCCTTAGTGCTCTATCGGTTTGCACATAAGATGTTCCAACATTGTCTCTATCATTCTCTATCCCTTCAGCAACTGAATCATCATCAATCATATTGATAAATTCCAACGATATTCCAACCATATTCCCCCATCCCTTATAGGGATCTTATTCCCTTTTTACCTTGATCATTCAAGTAGTAACATTTACTTCCAAAGATATGAAAGTAATTGACTTTAGGCTTCATTCTGGCCCATAACTCATAAAGAGTGGCTAAAGTATCTCTCCTCAGAGTAACCTTATTATGAGTATAACATGCAGTACTAACGGCTTCTTCCCAAAAGTACAAAGGCAAGTTCTTAGCACTAAGTATGACTCTAGTGAAGAAGTGAAAAACACAAGAAGGGGGGTTGAATTGTAAGACTTGAAATCAAATGCAGACAACACGTTATTTTTATCTTGGTTCGTTTAATCTCAAACTACTCCAGTCCACCCGTCAAGGTGATTTCGCCTCTCTCCAACGAGGTCTTAATCCACTATATTCAACTGAATATGACAACTGCTTTAACAACTGCTAAAGCCTTCTTGAGTCTAAACCACAGACCGGTTTCTCAAGGAAAATCTTTCTTACAGATAAATGAATACTATGTGTTGAATGTTTTCTACAAAAACTTTATATCACAACTGTGATACTACACAAATTAAGCTTATGTGTAACTAGGATGCTATAACTATAGAGTAAGCAATTTGAGAGATATAACAAGCTGTATGAGTGAGGATGAAGATGATTTGCTTTTTGGCGTGTAAAGAGTGGTAGAGCATTAGCCAATTCATTTCTCACTGACTTGTTTATATAGCCTTGGAAAAGATACGTTGCAGTCACTTATTCCATTTCAATGCCCATTACATTCTTTCCATATTAAGAAGATCTTTGTCTTGGAATAAAGCCGTTGGTAATAAAGTGTCTTGAATGCACAGTACCGTTGTCAATTCAGCGTGTTATTGGATTTGGCTTATTCTGACGCTTCTAGGTGCTGATGATATTGTTTTGGTCTTGATCAGAGTTTAGAGTATGATAAGCGCAGATATGTTCATCAAGCTTCAGCGTAAGCACATGCTTTGATCTTCTGATGCTGGCATATGATATTTCATCTTTTGATGCTGATGTTGACATTCTTATGCTGATATCCATCAGAGTTTCTGTAAATGCATAATATAATTTTTAGGTAGCATATATGTCTCATATGAATTATACAATTTATTTAATCTTGCATTTTGTTATCATCAAAACTTTAACTTAGGGTAGTAGATTCAAACTTTGTTCTAACAATCTCCCCCTTTTTGATGATGACAAAAACCGAATTTTTTTTCAATTGAAATTTAAAGAAAAAAGTATCAGAGATAACCAAATAATAAATTGTATCAGAGATAAACAGAAAGGTATCAAAGATAAGAAGATAGGGAATAGAAAGGTATCAGAGTTATGATCAGAAACACTCCCCCTGAGTTTATTACTTCCCTTTAGTTCCATGAGTCCTTTAGCATCAGATCTTTACTGAACTTTCTTTAAGCATCAGATCTTTCCTTTACCAGAGCAGAGCTTCAGTGTATTATAATTCATCAGATTCTTGTACATGTAAGCTTTAGCAGAACAAATAAACATTCAAGTATATCAGAGTGTTAGAATGTTTGAGACTTTTGTCTCAGTAATCCGTTATTGAAAAATATCATTCTTTCTCCCCCTTTTTGTCAGCAATCAAAAACTGCAAATAATTGAAGTTAAAAAAACGATCAGTGCAGAAAAACGATTGTATTCAGTTCAGAGCTCAGAAAATATTACAGATAACATGTAAAGAAAACAATGAAAACATCAAGAAACAAAAACTAAGGATGGGGTGGAAGGCGTGTGAACAGAGCTTCTAGCATGTTCTTAATCTGATCAGTGGTTTCCTTCTGCTGATGCACCATGCTGGCTACTGAGTCAATCTTACTATCCTGAACATCCATCCTTTCCTTCATTCGTTGATCATTCTCATCCATTCTCTCCTGCAGTCGAAGATCATTTTGCTTCAGCTCTTCAAGAGTCTGCCTGTCCAATGCAGCTTGAGAGGTGTCAGAATCAGGATGCTTCTGAGAGCTTTCTGCAATAACTTCTTCTTGACTTAAATCTTCAGCTGGAATCGTCTGTTCTTCTGCTGGTTGAATTGTTGAAGCTGGACGCTTTTCAGACCAAGGCTCACTGTCCAGATGAAGAACTTCATCCTTCAGCAGCTGACTCAAAACTGGACCTTCAATTTCTTTCAGCAGATTGCTGAAGTTCTATTGAGCCTGTCCATAGCTTTGGTCTTGCAGCTTAAAGGTTTCAGCGCATACCCATCTTCTGAAGAGTGTCCATATATGGTCTGAAACAGCGGGATCAATCACTTCCAGACTAGCCTGTTTTAGAGAAGAAATCCACTTCTGCACATTTGTTTCAAAATTCAAGATGCTAGAACCAACATCTGGTTGTTTGGGTTTGGGAATGGCAGTTTTATTGATAATGGAAGCAAGGCGTTCAAGGACTGTTAGATCAATGAAGGTCTTGCTGTGGTCATCTGGATTTTGCTTGGGTGAGGGAGTAGGAGAATCAGGA